AGACTTATCCCAATTGACAAGTATACTGTTGAGTTGATAGAAGTCATCTGCTATAGAAAGGATTGATTCTAAGTCTTTTTTGGATTTACTAATCCAGAGCGTATCATCCATATATGCAAGTGTGGAAATGTTGGTTAACACTGAGGATTTCGTTGAAAAATTGACATTAGGATGCCATTCTGCCGTTAAGTTATAACCAAGCGAGGTATTTTGGATGTGACAAAGTAGGGATCATAATATATATATCACAAAATTGGAGAGATAATCTCTCCTTGATCGATCTCTAAAAAAACGGAATATAAATCAGTGTTACCGTGCATGGTAAAAATCTGATTAAGACGGTTTGAAAACAGTGAAGCGATAAAGTTCAGAAATGCGTTAGGAAGTTTAAGACGGTTGAGTGCCTGCAGGAGCATGGCAAGGTTTACACGATCATAGGCCTTGGACATGTCCTGACTTTTTCTTTATTTGAAAGATGATCGTATTTGATGTTATCCATGATATGAATTGGTTTGAATGTAGAGCGAAAAGGCAGATCCACGAAGTTATGATCTTTTAGGATGTTTTTCTTGGACAACGTATCCAATAAACGTTTATTAATCAATTTGACTAACGCTTTTCGTAGGCATTCCAACAAAGTTATAGGGCGAGTATTATTGAGGTTGTATTCCCATGGCTTTGGTTTAGGGATGGGGTATACGAAGGCGAGGTTCTAATGATCAGGCGTGCAGGACAATGTTAAGCATGCGCAAGCTAACATTCAAAAGATTTTGTTCATTTTAGGACTTAAGTGTTTTAGCATTTTATTTGAGACTTTAGAAGAGCCAGACGCTTTATCATTGGGTAACGTTTTGAGGAGTTGATACCATTCATCTTCTTTCAGTAAGTCCATAAGGTGATTATATATCGATTCATTGATGGAGGAAAGTGATTCATACCAAGGTTTCCAATCGTCAGTGAGCTCAACGAAATGATGATGTGTACCTGTGGTTTGTTAAAAGGCCAAGGTCGTTGGCCGAATTATCTAGGCATCGATCAAGAACTATGGTGTGACGTTTTCTATCAAGAATAGAGTCGAACATTCTAGATTGGTCATCATGAAAGTTATCGCAGCGATGTTTTAGCGCAGCCTTGATCTGTTTGGATTTATGTT